GGGTCAACAGCATAAGACCATGATTAACAGTCAATGAATAATAGGAGAGGATAAATCGTATGTGCTGTAATTTGGTTATATTCATAATTATAACAATGGGGATCGTCATATTTTTGTTCCGTCTAGATATTAGGCGGTCCATAATAAAGTGCCCCATTTGTGGGAGGGAGTCCAAGGAAAAGTTGAAGCTCTTAAGAGTATAGTAACAGGGTTATTAGTCTTTTGGATTCGGTAAAAGACTTGATAGCTGCGTGCCTATAAAACTTCAAGTACAGTGTGATCCAGTCTCTCTTAAAAGACGAATAATTTCTTATGGTCATCGAGAAGCAGTAAATAAGAAACTGAACGATTTTGCGCGAAAGGTATGATTGAATTGGTTCAGTCTTCAGCATGGGGTACTCCTATTGTTACACCATTGAAGTTGGATGGCAAGACCTCTGGAGTATGTGGTGACTGTTGATCAACACTGAACCCCCATTTGTTGAAGCAAACGTGTACCACGGTAAAGGATGACGATACTCTTAATCAACTTCAGGGTTCTAAAGTGATCTCGAAAGTTGAACTAAAAGATGCTTATCCTAAAATACCCTTAGATCAATCTTCATCTACGTTGACAATAATTAACACTCCTTTTAGCCCGTTCAAAAACAACTTCCGTCCATTTGGTTCAAGTTGTTCTCCAGCCATATTTCAGGAAGTGATGATCAATGTGGTCAATGATCTTGAGGGTGTTAAAGTTTATCAAGATGGTCTCATGGTTCATCGTTCTGATAAGGTAGTCCATGATCAGAGACTTATTGCTTTACTGCGTTGTTCAATCAGGAAGAATATTACGATGAATCCAAATAAGTGTTCATTTTGTGTATCTAATTTTGGATGTCTTGGATACCTAGTCGATGGTAACGGTTTTGAACCAGATAAAAAGACTAGCTTTAATGACGAATGCGCCATCTCCATAAACTCTTACAAAACTACGTTCATTAGTGGGTGCCATTCAATAATATTCCCGGCTTATTCTTAATTTTCCTTGTCATGCCAATTGTTTACTTGATATTTTGATATCCAATTCACTTAAATGGAGTGAGAAACAAGATTCATGCTTACGAAGTTTGCTAGAGTTTATTAAAAGTAATGCTGTTCTTCGAATTTGCTCCCCAATGTACATTCTGCACTTACTACTGATGCATCACCTATGGGTATTGGTGCAGTTTTGGAGCAGGAAGGTAGACAAGTTATCTGTGTTTCACGCCAACTTACTGTCGCTAAACAAGGTTATTCACAAACTCCGCGGGAAGCATTAGCTGTGTTTCGGGCTGCTAAAAGACTTGGCAAATATTTATTTAGAAAGAAATTCACTATTGTTACTGATCATGGGGCTTTAAAGCCCACTTATCATCTTGAACAATCCTTCGCACGTTCCTCAGGTTCTATGGTTCAACGATAGAGTATTACTGTGAATGTCTACAACTGTACAATCCAGTAAAGAACTTCCAAATGAATTCAACATACTGATCACATATATCGATGATCATCACAAGATAAATCTAGTAGTATTGCATACTGTTTGTTAAAGCAGCATTTACCAGCGAGTCTTGCATATCTTTTTTGAAAAACCCGCCAATACTTTGGACGTGTATTCAGTGGTGTACGAATGCTAATCTGAAACGTAGATTTTATGTCTATTCTTCAGAGTGAGATGTGTTATCCACTACTCCTGATGATATTTCCTGTTTAAATAATAGTGTTGTTGTTTCTCCTTCATTACGTAAATCTTACTTCCAACATCTTCATAGTGAACGTTTGGATGATGAGAAAATGAAATCCTTAGCAAAGCACACATGTTGGTGGATTGAAATAAATGCACACATGTGTCGTACAACAAACAATTGTGAAGGATAACACAAGTTGTAAAATCAGCCTTCGAACTGGACTCCATGGCCAGCATCGTTTGAGGCCTGGCAGAGAATTCATGCAGACTGTTGTAGTCTATTTCTCAGCAAATACTATGCACTTGTAGTCATTAATTCCTTTTCGAAATGGTCTGGATGTTTTCACAGCTTCACCAAATTCTGGCTTCACAATCCGAACATTAAGAAAGGAGTTTAGTCGAGAAGGGGTTCTCGAGGCATTAGCAACTGATAATGGCTCTGATTTTGCTGCAGACGCGGCCACTACCTGGTTAAGTGGTATAGGGTACAAACACCTGTTCACTGCTACCACGCATCCTTGTTCCAATGTTCAGGCTGGAAAGTTCACCAGGACATTGAAAACTGCCACTAATTACATTGCTACTGCAACACGTGATAAACTGAATAGGAGAGTAGATATGGAAATATGGAAACGCTAGAAATTCTTCATCTCCACCAAAGCTATTAAAAGGAAGAATCCTCCGTCAGAATATGGGGTGTTTGAAGTCTGCAGAAGTTACATATTATAGTGAGAATGATCTTTGACTGGCCATGGATATTGTGGTGAAGAATGTCGGGGAATTCATGCTGCGACTTCTAGATATCAATGACTTGAATATACACAACCGACATGTGGACCAAATAAAATTCTAGGAACCAGGTGGGTCTGTTCCAACTCCAGTAATTACTTCTAATACTTATGATCAGATTCTAGATAATACATAGTCTCCATCTAATACAATACGTGGTCGAGTGTTATGGGGTGCAAACTCAACAAGCTCTCGCCCCCTCCTTAGGATCCAAGTCAAAACGTGCTCTTCTTAACGATAGGAAAATAATATTTGAACGTTCGACTTTTGCTACCTTAGTACGTTCTATTTGTTCAGACTAATGTATTTAACAGGTGAAATGTCATAAGTTTATGACTGCATAAATGGCGAAAAGTTCTCAAAACAATTAGACCCTTTGGTAAATTTGGATAGTTTAATAAGAGGACGTAGATTATCAGCACTGTATAACACATTGCCTCAATAAATCTAGTCACACATACACTTGTTTAAGGCAAAACAAAGAGCCAACTAGATTAGAAATGGAGGGTGAGAGAAAAAGTAATAATAAAGAAAATACTGCGAAGAGACAATGTGAAAAACCATCACTGGATAAAAAGCTAATATTAGCAGCGTAGGTATGAGGTAAAAACAAACTGTTTTTGAATACATAAAGAGGGTTTTCACGGTCGCTAGTTGTGAACTCACTTCTGAAGGTTGCACATTGAGACTCGGTCCTACCGTCGTTGCTCGATCAGCTTAGCTATAGAGTGAAAATAAGAAATGCCTGATATCAAGGAACTTTAATGCACATGACATTAGTTAGACATAGATGACCACCTCAGGATCTGAAGACTTTTGACAGTAGGCTCTTGATGACGGAATAGAGCATTTTTTTCGTACAGCACGTATCCGTACCCATACGTCTTGGATGGAACCAAAAATCTCCGCTATTAGACTTAGTAATCACTCACGCGACCAAGGATATCACTTGTTTAAATATTCTTCTACGGTTAGCAAATATCCATCTTGCTGTTTTTTCATTCATGTTCAGAGCTTGTGACATAATATGCAATTATGTTAAACCTCGCTTAAAGGTATGAGGAGAAAAAATAATGCCCATTCAGGAGTGTGCTGCAACAACGGACTGGTCAGTAAATACTAGCTCATCAGTTGAAGAAGTATGATGTATATTTAAAGGCACTCTTGGTTTAGTTACTTCCCCCGTTTATACCATACTTAGTGCCACATAGACCACGCTGTGGGTGAGTAAACAGGTCAAGAAATTTTGTTAAGTGTAGGAAGACGCACAAATCTGCTCGTAGCAAGACAAGAATGAACTGCAGCGAAAGATAGGAATATTTCGGTGGATGTATTTTTCAAGGCCTCTCGCCTTAGTCGTAAATTGAAACTAGAAGGTTATGGGATTAGAAACTGTATAAGTGACTCCCTCAATGATAGGAAGCAATGCGAACTGGTAAATGAGCTTTATTGATGCGAAAACTTGAAAAAGTGCAGTCCCGTAAGATACAGTCCTCTGTCCTCTTCTTTTGATTGTACGTAAACGACATACTAGCCGTAGCAAAGTCGTCTGTTGCATATTTTGTAGATGACGTAAAGATTTGAAGAACCATACGCAGTATACCAGATAAAATAATATGACATGGTGATCTAAATTTACTGGTTGAGTGGATAGGTAATTAGTCACTAGAATTCAATTCTAACAAAAATATGGAAATGCAAATGAATGACTCCGAAAATTCCCATAATTACATAACACATAGAGTTGTTTAGCCCGTAAAGATCTGGTAGTTCATAACTAGGAGTAAGCGCCAAGCTACCGTTGCCAAATACATCAGGGTCTTACGTTCTATTAGTAACTAATTTGATTATTAAGACCCGAATTTCGTGAGGCCGCATCTGGAATATGAAGCTCAAGAAGTGAGTCCTCGTTTTAGTCATGAGATGAATGTTGTAAAATGAGTTCAACGGTGAGGGAACAAATTGGTGAAAGGTCTCTCTGAACCATCTTATGAAGACATACCGTAGGTTACAAGGCAACCTAATACTGGCTTACCGTATACTGAACATTATTCATGGTAATAACACATTTTATTGTTTCCTTATATCCAGCACCGATCACCTGAGATGACGTTCCAAGAAATTTCGAAAACCGAGATCCAAGTGTTTGCGCCTGGACTCCCTTTTTTCACTGCTTGGTTGAAGTAATGGGACTTTCTACCAGAATAATTATTATTAGCACTCACTCTTGACACATTCAAGCAATGTTGAATATTAACAGTACGATTAATACAGGCCGATTGGCCTCTTAACCTTACTACTGAAGAGGGAAGTCTGATTCAACATACAGTTGTAAATTTCATTTAGTGTTTCTGATTCAAGAGAATATTGAGGTACTTTCGGCTAAAATATTTCTCGTTGATGTGATATGACGATTCTTATCCCGTTCACTATATTTGTACTATGGTGTCCAGTCTTGTTTAATTTTGTAACTAAGTCTCAAGCAACCTTGTGAAGGTCAAGTTAGTAGTGGCGCTGAAACCGGGGGTTTGAGGTATGTTGGTGTTGCTGGGTTGCTCACTTTTATCGTAATAATAAATGTTAAATATTGAGTTAATACAAATCCTTCGTTTGGTCTCAATACGAACGTTGACTCGTAAGCAGTCTTAGCTTCACTTTGACTATGTCGTGACTTTAATTAGGTATGATGTCACTTTTAGACCTTGTTCTCAGGGAACAAACTACTACTGCAACATTATATTTAATAAATTTGTTCGCCATCCTGTCCCGCAGCAGTGTTCGTTATTTTCGACGGGTCTTATGAGAATTGTAAAAACGTCTTCCTAATCACAACTGAGTAATTCCAGTGTCCTGTATACTTATTGTGGATCTTTGAGCGCTAAAAAACGACATGTATACTAAATCACGCCTCAGATTTCGGTGAGCATCAAAGTCCTTGTTTAATATGACTTCACACTCTCAAAGGTTTTACTGTTCATGAAAATAAAATTTTAACGTTCGTCCCTATCTATGAAATTTGTCTATAAAGCTAAGAAATTCTGAATAAGCATTACAAACACCGTTCAAGTCCTCAGATTTTTGGTTAGTGTTCTTTGTCTTACAATTAGTATCAGGATTTCTATGAGTCGTTTTACTGAATTTAATTTAGTTTTTCTCAAACAACTCGTTGAATAATGCAAAAATTGCTGTCCTTAGTTCGCGATAACATTTATGATTCTAAAAAGATAGGGAATTTTCTTTTAACACTGCGTGTGTCACTCACACTGCACTTTTTCTACAATAGAACAAAAAGTTCTTTTGTCATTCATACTTCAATGTTTTGTCTGTGACTATCCTCTTTTCACAAGCGTTTGCAATCTGCAAGTCTCTTCAGCAAGGCAGTACAATTACTGTCAAATAGGAAATATATTTGACGTGAAGTAGGACAAAAGCTTTATGAGCTTTTTCTTTTTCGAAACGTAAGTGATCTACAAAACCTGAGACTTACAATCTCTGTTAAATGGCTTATAGTCACGTTTATTCTTGTTTTTGACATTTTGTATGTGACCGTATTGTTTTACAAGCACAAAGGCAATTTCACTGAAAAGTTGTGCATACTACTACTTCATTATTTCTCTTGATAAAGTTATCCTTTTGCTCAAGGATTTTGGTAACTTGGACCGATGGATATGTGTTAGGTTCTTTGTTGTCTTTGATCAACTGTCTATCAATTAAGGGGCGAGAATATTGGGCACTAGTTCGTTCTGTCCTACTTTATAGCTGCGAAACGTGGCCATTAAGAGTTGAGGATACTCGTAAGCTACTAGTATTTGACCACAGATGCCTTAGAAATATTGCTGGCGTCTGCTGGGATCACCGGGTAAGTAATAGTGAGATTAGACGTAGGGTATTAGGGAGTGGTGGTTAGTCAGTTGATGAGGTTGTGAATCTTTATCGACTGAGATGGTTGAGCCACGTGTTACGTGTGCCTGAACACCAATCGCCACGACGTGCAATGCTAACCGGTGTTGGGTATGGTTGGAAGAAAGTTAGGGTCGGCCAAACGAAAACGTGGCATCAATGCTTGAAGTCACTAAGTTGTGTTCTGAGCCATGTTGGTAGATGCAGACTACTTGGTTGTGGTCCGTGTGACTATTGTATCGAGTGGTTGGAGACTGTGAGTGACATGGCTGAGGATTGTTCACAATGGTATAGGTGTGTACATCCTTTGTCTTCCCTTAAACCGTGAGATTAAAATTGCTTCAGTTGGGTATCTTACTTGTTATGAACGTGAATGATTGGATTTATTTACTAACAATATTGATTGCTTTTACTACTGTCATTTTAAGAAGCAGGAAAACATTTCAGTAGAATGTAACTAGAATATTATATCATTTGGGAGGAAGGCTTTGCAAATAGTCCTGTGAATTCAGTTTCGTGTATTAAGGAACCATGTGTAACTACGGGCGTTATCATAAATGTTGTAATTATTTTTTGGTGAATGAAACTGTTCTGGTATTTACTATTGTAAAAGAGCATCCAACTATAAAACTTTCAACCCTTGTGTCTGGAATGTGTATTACCTCAACATATTATGTTTTTTGCAACTTGTACGTATACTTGTAGGAGGCTTCTCAATTACTATTGGGGATCGAGTCTTGAAAAATTTAGAATGCATATTTTACTTTATCGGCGATTGATTTGTAAATATCTAAGCGTTTGACACCTGTATTCTTTGTATCCGATTTTATTTTCCATTTTCTAATGCACTAATGTATTTGTCTCGATAGTTTTGCCTTGGTGGACTGTTTTTAGTCGTACAACTCTGTAAAACGTTTTATTTCCTTTATTTCTGGAACAAACTGCACGTAACGGGTACTGGTTTCAAATCGAGCATTTTACTATCTATAAATGTCCTCTTTCTAACCTATAGTTTGGTTTCTTGACTTTTGTAATGGTTGTTTTCGACAGATATTTTTTTCATTGATTTTAAAGGAATCAATTTTAAATGATTAATCTCGTATGAAGTAATCAGTCATAGTAAGAAAAAATGATAATGAAAGAAAATGTCGAAGATTTTCCCATGGATGAACTTTCTGTATCATCTACAAACCGTGATATTTCATCATCATTCCCTGATTTAGCCAATTCAGAATTGTTTATCCCACATCCTACTTACATTCTACCTACATGCTCTTCAGATGAATCAAATGATAATTTAATTTGTATGAATTTCGAATCAAATCATTACTTAAAAGAGGCCATGAATACTATGTATGAATTATTTCAGTCTCGAAAATTAACTGATGTCACATTATGTGTAAATTCAGAATCAATTCAATGTCATCGAATTGTTCTAGCTGGTGCTTCGCCATATTTCCGAGCTATGTTCACTGGTGAAATGCGTGAAGCACTTTTACATGAAATTAAATTACATTACATATCGGCAAGTGCTTTAAAAAAGCTAATCGATTTCGCATATACAGGTAGAATACAAATAAGTGAACGGAACGTATGTGAATTACTCATAGCTGCTTCTATGATTCAAATGTCTCATGTTGTCCAAGCTTGTTGTAGTTTTTTAAAGCAGCAATTACATCCTTCAAATGCTATTGGAATTCAAGAGTTTGCGCAATCAAATAATTTTTCCGAATTATCGTTTGCTGCTCAAAAGTTTATTGATCAAAATTTTAGCGAAATAGTAAAACATGACGAGTTTCTAGGACTTCATCCTAACCAACTTTTAACTTTAATTAAACGTGATGAATTAAATGTACGAACTGAAGCGGAAGTGTATAACGCTGTTATCAGATGGGTAAATCATAATAGAAATTCAAGATCATCTACACTGCTTGAAGCTTTGTCTGCCGTCAGATGTTATACACTTCCTCCTACATTTATACAAGGACAAATAAAAAATTGTAGTCTTCTTGCAGGTTTCACTCCTGCAAAATCTCACTTGCAAAATATTCTAGATGATCTTATTAAACACCGTCATATCTCAATAAATAAACGGACAGCTGGGTCAATGGAGGTAAATTGGTTCTCGTTATTATAATTCTGTTTAGCTGTTTCGACTTATTTTTATATGTAAATGTTCATTTGTGATCTAGCTTATTGATCAAGTTAATATTTAAGTTCTTATCTTCTAGCCATGAAATATCTAGATGGGAGCAACAGGTAGCCCAGATATTCAAGCAGGCCGCCGGTATAGATCTTCTCTTCTCTCATTGAAAGTGTTCATGGGAATATACTTGTTGTATTGACATTATTTTGCCACTGTTCATGCTCAAATGGTATTTCGAGGATCTATTTCTGTAGACGTGGGGGATGACATGGATACAAACCAATCTCATTGGTGGAGATCCAATCATTATCTATCTTCTTCCAAATCTTAAGCTTAATATTGTTCCACAAATCTATTTTTTGATCTTATTTATTCCTTTGAAGCTGCTATCATATCTCAAGAAAAATAGTGATATGTTAATGGTACGGCTATTTGTTATGACTACAGAAAAACTGCTGCCTAGTGCTTGTTGAGACAGAACAAGGACTAGATTTTCGAGTTGCATTTTTTGCTTCTTCCTTACACCTTTGAATTTAGATGCGATTGAGTAGAGTTTATTGTAGGGAGTAAGCTTGAAAATTAGATATCATTTTCAATCCCTTCCCCCTTTGCTGAAAGAATGAACTTGGACCGTGTTCACTAGAATCTTTAGGAAAATAATCTGCGTCTTTTTATAGACGGATGGAAGACATCAACCTTACCAAATTAACTTTCGTATTTTTCTATTTCGATACTTTACAAATTTTTACTTTTTATACGGATATTTATTGCTAGACTGAAAGGCATCATCATACACCCCGCACATACTATTTTGGTTTAGAAACTTGACATTTTTCTCATCCTTCACCAATTTGATCTCATTTACATTTTCTTGCCAAATCTTGAGGACCTAATGATAATTATTGATAGCCGCCTATCAAAAGTTGCGTATTAACTTCAGGATCAGTAAGTGTCGCATACAGATATGCTGCAGCTGAATTAAACTTCAGTTACCAAAGCGATGTTTGCGTATTTGCATGGGCCATACACTTTATTCGAATATATACTTACCTAGCCTGTTACCTCTCGTGGAAGAGAATAGGGATACCACCAACATTCTTCATCCAACTCTGTTCTGGACAATCCTTTCCAGTTGTCTCCAGTCGCTATTCATTCTTTTGATGTTTATTTCCAATTCCTGACGTAGTGTTCTTCGGCCTTCCTCGTTTCCGTTTCCCTTCTAGATTCCAGGTAAGCGCTTGCCTCGTGATACAGTTTGATGATTTCCGTAACTTATATCCTATCCACCTCCAACCTCTTTTCCTAATTTCCTGTTCATCTGGAAGTTGGTTTGTTCTCTCCAACGTAGGTTGTTGCTGATGGTATCCGGTCGACGGACATTGAGTATCTTACGTAAATAACTGTTTATAAACACTTGTAACATTTTGATGATGGTTGTGGCAGTTCTGAAAGTTCCAGCTCCATACAGTAGAACTGACTTGACGTTCGTATTGAAGATTGTGACTTTGATATTGGTTGACAGTTGTTTTGAGTTGCATATGCTCCTCAATTGTAGGAATGCTGTGTTTGCTTTGCCAATCCTCGCCTTTACATCTGCATCCGATCCTCCTCGTTCGTCGATGATGCTGCTAACCAGGTACGTGAAAGATTCCATCTCTCCCAGAGCTTCTCCATCAAGCGTGATTGTGTTGGTATTCTCTGTGTTGTATTTGAAGATGTTGGTTTTTCCCCTGTGTATGTTGAGGCCTACTGATGCAGAGGCTACACTGTTTTTTTCACCTATATTTGTTGGTGTGTATGGGATTGAAGAGTCGGATCATCTGCCAAGTTCAAATCGTCTGTTTTGATCCAAGGTGTTCATTGTATTCCGTGTTTCCCCTCAGATGTGGAAGTCTACATAATCCAGTCAACCACGAGAAGAAAGAGAAAGGGAGAGAGAGTAAGCAGCCATATCCGACTGCGGTCCTCACTTGCAATGCATCTGTCGGCCGTCCTCTATGCACGTTTTTGCACTGTAGTCCGACGTGTGGGTTCCGTATGATATCGACGGTTTTCTCCGATACTCCATAGTGTCGAAGATGTTTCTATAATGTTCCATCCACACTTTCAAATGCTTTCTCAAAATCAAGGAAGGTGATATATTGTGACGAGTTCCATTCAATTTGTTGTTCAACGATGATCTGTAGGGTCGTGATTTGGTCTGTGCGCGACCGATCCTCATGGAATCCGGTTTGTTGATCTGGAATCTGGACGTCTACTGAATCTTTCATGCAGTTCAGCAACACTGTTGGAAACATTTCCTGGTACCAATAATAGTTTAACTAATCTGTACTTCTCACATTTGCTAAGATCTCCTTTCTTGATGAGGTATGCTTCTTTCCAGACTGTCGTCAATTTTTCTTCCCAGATTTTCCTGAACAGGTTGTGACGCATCTTTGTATTTACTTCTATGTGTGACATCAGTGCTCCAGCTGGTATATTATCAGGTCGTGCTGCTTTCCCACTCTTGATCTGTCTGATGGCCATCCTGAATTCTTCGATCGTTGGTGGAGCGACATCTATAGGACGGTGTGTGTGTGCTGCTTTGATGTTTGGTGGATTCAGTGGTGCTGGTGTATTGAAGAGTTCTTCGAAGTGTTCTACTCATCTGTTCTTCTGTTCTTGGATCTGAGTGATTGACTTGCCATGTTTGTCCTTGACCGGGTTTTCTGGTTTACAATATTTCTCTGTCAGTTTCTTCGTGTGTCATATAGCATTTTCCGCTGTTGTTGCTAGGTCTTCCACGTATTTCTGCTTGTTGACTCTAATACTCCTCTTCACTTACTTGTTAGCTTCAGTGTGTTCAGCTTGTGCCTTGACTTTCTCTGTTCTTGTTTGACTGTTGTTAATTGCTGTCTTTTTGTTCTTTTTTTCTTGAATCTTGTCCAGGTTTTCGATGAAGATCCATTCCTTATGATGATGCTTGTTGAGGCCCAGAACCTCCTTACACATTGAAGCCAGTGCTTTTTTCATCCCTTTCTACTTGTTCTCCTTGGTAGATTTCTCTGCTTTGAGTAGATCTTGTAAGTCTTGCTGTTGATAGTTATTTTGAATTCTCTGAGTTTGTCAGTATGTCGAAGGAAGGATGTATTGAACCATTGTAATGGTTTTTCCCCAGGTGTCCAGTGTTTGTTTAGTTTCAGTTTCATCTCGTCAACCACCAGTTTGTGATGATCTGAAGCTATGTCAGCTTCTCTTCTGGTTCTCACGTCTTCCATTGTCCTTCTGAAAATCTTAGTGATGCGATTATGATCAATCTGGTTCACTGTAGTGTGATCCGGTGAGACCCATTTAGCTTTGTGTATGCGTTTGTGGGGAAATTTTGTTGAGTACACATAAATTTGTAAATCTGTCACCATTCTCGTTCCTTTCTCCCAGTAGTCAGTCCTTGTCGTCCCATGATACCTTCGTAGCTAATGTTCTCCATTCCGACTTTGGAGTTTAGGTCTCCCATCAGGATGGTCAGATCTTTTCCTGTGCACTTCGCTATGATTGATTGCGGCCTCTCGTAAAACTGGTCTTCATTGTCGTCATTGCTATCTTTGGTGGGTGCATAAAATTGGATGACATTAATTGGGATTCCCTCCCTCTACATTTTGAAGGATGGTTTGGTGATCCTAGATCCATGTGACTCCCTTCCTATGAATGCTTTACGTGCTTCTTTGAACAGCATCAGAGTAACTCCCTGAGTGAGGAGAATTTTCTTCATGACCAAGGTAGTACAGCATCTCTCTCGAATCTAATCTATCCTGTCCAGTTTGGGTCCAATGGGTTTCACTTATCGTGAGAACCGTCAAGTTGTATCTCCTCATTCCCATAGCTGTTTGACTGGTCCTTTCAGTCTCCTTCATTGTCTGGACATTCCATTTAACTATATTAATGGTTGCTCTGGTTGTTAGAATGGGCATCAGCCTCATGATGTTTGAAGAATTTCAACTTTTATCATGAGGCGTCATAATTCTTCTTTCAATTCAGAGGATAGAGTTTAAATGGTTTAATTTGTTTATTCTGGTTAGGGTTTTTTAGCAAGGTTTTTTCCTACGGGACGAGGTTGCCGACCCCATGCCCAACCCTTCTGCTTCGTGTGGGCTCGGGACCGGCAGGAATTCTGGAAGAACTACAGGCGGAGTTATCCGATTATATAAGATAATTTAATTATTTTGTGCATTTATTTCTTACTTCTCTTTAAATATAGTATTCCCTTTCATTCACAATATTTTCTGCATACTATATGTGACCCACTCTATTTTTCGGTGCTCTGTTGTAACATATTTTATATGTTTGTATAATAAAAGTAATAATAGTTAAATGGCGAGTACTAAAAATTGGTAACTATCAGGTTAATATTTTTTCTAAAAGCACTTACTGCTTCGTTAAAATTGGAATCGGTGAAAAATTTTGTTAAGATGAAATTGTCAAACTTGTTGTCTCTAATTGATTTTAAATTTTTTGACACTAGAATAGATTTTTAAACCATTGCTGTGTTTAGCCAATATGTAATTAAATCTTTTCTGCGATAATAAGCATCGAGCCATATCCCGAAATTTAGATTGAAGTCAAACTAAGAGACTGGCTCTTAAACTGTACTCATTTTCTGAGATTTTGTCAGTCAGTTCTCACTGCAAATAGCTTGATTTCCTCGATTGTGAGTGTTATCTTTAAAATAACCCGTCTCTACTGTATTGTCTTGAAGAAAATACTCCAATGGCCATTAGTTAGCTAAATTTTCTGTGTTCAACTTTCTATGGTAGTTAACATTTCCCCCTTCTCTGCTCGTTGTGTTAATTTCTCTCGGTCAGTTAGGCTTATAAGTCATATTTTTTGTGGCAAAGGCTTTATAGGATTTAACTACCTACAGATGAATTTCTAAGCTGGTCCCTAGGTTGTCGAGCACATAGTCCTAGTGTGCATTACAACCAATTAATACCTTAACCTTCTCGTTTTCAACTCTTGATAAATTCGTGTTTTTTAAGTGGGAACATGATACATTCTAATGCGCCATTAACACGGTCCTGAGTACTAAAGGTAATCTTTCGACCATCAACACCTTTTGGACCTTGATGTACGACCGAAAATATAACACGTGAATTTCTTTATCAACTTCTTCGGATGCGAGAGACGACTGGTTATCAAGAGTCTTTAAGGGTACTATTTTAGGCCTTCCATCCAGGTCTTTAGCTTACTTTCTCGACATTGGCTTCAGATAACCGATCCCTACTTGCTTCGACATAGTCAACGGGGACTTAACCACCTGGCTGCAGATATTTTCGTATTTCCAACCATTTAGCTATTGCTTGAAGGATAGGTAAATATTTTCCGACATGTCTGTCCCGAAATTCAGTAGCTAACGTCTGCGCTTCATCCCATCTTTTATTGTATTATAAAGTTTTTTTGGACTGAGACTTCGCCGAATCGTAATCTTTTCTGAACTGACAACTTATCTTGAGTAAGTGCCTCTAGGGCGATGCAATCATCTGTCATCTTCACCGGTGGTCTGTTGTTCAGTATTTTTTTCGGCCCTGGCTAGAAATGTTGATAAGTTTCTTAAAAATCTTCTTGATTTCATAATGCACTCCCACACTCTGCCTTGATGGTTTATCCTAGGTGGGTTAGAACGACATTCACATCCGCTTTCTTTAAGGTTGTTCTTTAGTAAAAGCTAATCATATTGGTAGGTGTTTAATAGTATCGTTTGTTGGGTTACTCTTTGGACCCATACCTTACAAACATAACGTTTTGAACATCGGATATATGCACAACGTCTTTCAACGTCTAGATTATACGTTCATCTAAAATAACTCGTAGATGTTTGTATGCAAAAGTACAAAAGATTTTGTTCGATAATCTCGGATTCGCACTAAATGTTTGACTTTATTTAGGGGATTTAATTGTAGGAAAATCAAAGTTAAATTTTGTAGGTAATCTAAGGTGAAATATATTGTTTATGTCCCCTGTGGAATAAATTAAGAAGAGTTAAATTCGTTCATAGATATTATATTATGATTCGATGACTCACAAATTCACTTTATAACCATTAGATTCGATGTTCATATTTACTTAACGTGACTGGGTAGTAGTAGTAGTAGTATTAACCCACGCTTAGTTATTATGAATGGTAGTATTGTGGTTTATTGATCTGAAACGTTTGACCAGTAAGTTTAAAATTCTAATTTTTGTTTTGCCTTCTACTACATAAACTGGTACTTAATCACTGAGTTCTATTTTTGACATTTTTTGCCACTTCCTTTTCTGATGACTAGTTAGTTACACAATCTTATTTTGCAGATTCTTTACTCAGCTGGTGGTTATCTGCGTTATTCACTAAGTGCATTTGAATGTTACAATCCAGTTACAGCTAAATGGAGACGTCTACCAGATATACCTAGCCCACGTAGTGGCCTGTCTGCTTGTTCTGTACGTAGTTGCGTTTATCTTGTAGGAGGCAGAAATAATAATGAACAAGGAAATATAGATGCACCTCACATGGATTGTTATGATCCAAGAAAAAATTGTTGGACTACATGTGCTCCTATGTCAGTGCCTCGTAACAGAGTTGCTGTTGGTGTTGTCGATGATATGATTTATGCTGTTGGTGGTTCAACCAATACAATGCACCATAAAAGCTCTGAAAAGTAAGTATTTGGTTTGGTTTGTTTTCTAACTGATAATTTTACATCTAATTAATAGTGTATTGTTTATTGTATTATTATATTATCTATCTTAACGCAAACCTGACAATTATTCAAATGACCATAATCATGTTAAGTGACACATAACTCAAATATTTTTGACTCAATTAGTTGTTAATGTTAATATCATGAAATTTGGACTACCGATATTAGAAATTCATTAAAAACCAAGCAGTATTGAACAGTTACTTCGTCCTTGTATGAACTACTTAGCAGTGTGCAACCACACCAGGCGCTAGACCCAAGACTTTCAGGTTTCTCAACAAGCACTTAACTCTTCGGCTACTATTTATTTATTTGAAGACATAGATGTTTGGTATAAGGGGTCACCAGATACATATGCGCCACACAAATCTCATTTGATTTGTGTGAGAGCTGTGATACTTCCCGAGTGCCCAAATCGAAGCAGGGGGTTTTCTTAAGGGGCCACACTCGGAGCCTTTGATCTAAAGGTCTGATCCACAAGGCAGTGGAGCAACGTAAGGAGATGCAGTCCTATGGCAGCCGGTGACCAACAATTGTTTCATGCGCCATTTGTTTCCTCAGGATACTGGAGCCCATGTACGCCATTGGTTTGGAATCAGGGTTTTCGAACTTCCCTAGGTGGACTCTCCATGTCCACCAAGCCGGTTAAAGCGCTGGACATTCGCTTTTCTTCTTCTCAATTTGGTAAACAAGAGTAATGCCGCGAGAAAGCATTGAGTAGGACTTCCCTGGTAGAGGCTATATACGCGTGGCCATGTGAGAGCATTTTTTGAGGGAGAGCGGACTCTCTACTCTCCGTCGTACCAGGGCATTTAGGGGCCTTCGGCTGCTAAGTTGTCATCCAATAGTTTAGATTTCTATATTCGATCAAACTGCAATATTACTCAATCATCATTCTATGTCATTGGTGGAAAACTGAAATTTGACAATCTACAGAAAACTATCCTTTAGTAGTAAGATTTCTGTCATGTTATTACTTTTTTTTGCTCAAATTAATAACATACTTTAACATTTGTATATCATTATGGTTAGTATTCAAAATATTGAATTGTGGTTCTTTGTGCATATTTTTCTTTCCAGTTAGATAAGATTAATTGGACATATTAAATCAGGGATAATAATTTCAATATGAAGATTTAATGAATTTATATATAATTAAAAAAAATTTTAATGTACACTGGAAACTTATTAGAATTTCATTCTTTAATGTTAGTTACTATTACTAATTAAATGTAAAATATTTCTTACCTGATTTACATGTTTTTACACCTTCAATCAATCAATAAAATACAATATATATATTTAGCAAAACTTCGTCACAGTATATATTAGCGATTATACTTATTGTCTTAACAACTTTTGTTCTCATTATTAATATAATATATCGGTAGTCACTTCCGTAGTTTTCTCTTCCCTCATCCTGCTTCGGTTTAGGCACTTGGACAGTATCACAGCCCTCATGCAAATCAATGATAACTACTATTGGCCTCAGTATTATTGTGTAGCGTATATGTATTTGGTGCCCCTTTATTCCAATGTTTACGTGTTCAGATAAATAAAATTTTTTCCCTCTAATTTTCTAGACAAACTGTAAATTTTTTTTACTAATGAATGCCAATAAATGCATTTATTTGTCAATTGTCTGATTCTTTTGGGTTCATATGTTTGACTTTGTCTAGTCCATACGTGTTTAGATCAGATGACCTTGAACAGATACTTTTTTCATGTTTAGACCGATATAAATATAAATAGATAGATAAACCGACCTATATTTTTCGCCTTGTCAAAAGTGCATGATTATAACTACTCTGTACAAAAAAAATATGATATTGTAATTTATGATTTGTTAAAATATGATCAAATTAATTCAATGAAAAATAAAATACTCAACCTTTGTAGTTTCGACTTCTTTTTATCAGGGCAATCTCTGAATTATGTATATATAGTCTACATTATTTTACTGGCGGCCTATTGATAACAGTCACTCTATTATCTTTTGTTTACTCATTTAATTTGAATGTATCTAAAGTATATATAATGATGATTACAGAATATATGCTCTCTTTCATTGTGTTTCTGTTGATTTGCGAAGGAATTTTACAACAGAATTTAACACTCCAAAGTACTATGTACATAAATCATTTGAGCGTTTATGTATAATTAATAAAAACGTGCGTAAAGCATATTGTGTTATGACAGTGATCAGTAGTGATGGTTTTCACCTAAATTCTAGCTATGTGATAAACTAAAATCAATCGATTCATAATCTCAATCAAAAACCTAACAATCCCCACAACCCTAAATTGATAATTACCATGTGCTCACTAGTGACTAGCTTTGTGAGGGGATTCTTGGAGTTCTAACGAGAAGCCGTGGCCAATGGAGTTAATCCATGTCAGGTAGAGACAGGTATCTACCTCAAACAATAGATGGTCGCTAAATTTTGTGGATTGGTTGAAGTTAGACGTTAAAATCGTTGGATACCGGTTCAGTGGCCTAGAGGTTAAGCGTTTGCTCGCGAGACCAAACGCCCTGGGTTCAAATTCCGCGAGCGGGATCGTGAATACCAACTGCTGAGGAGTCTCATACTAGGATGAAACGGCCGACCAGTACTTCCAGATTTCCAGTGGTAGTCTAACATCGATCGATTCATGATAAATAATAATTTGACTCGTTTGCGCAGCATTTGACTAGATTAGAAATTCCAAACCCACAAAACCTACTCTTGTGCTTGTACAGATAGCAGCTAGGTTGTGTTTTACTACCCTTCACAAAAAGTAATGTGACTGAATGTTGATTGCGTAGATCTGTACTACCAGTATGCATAAGGAGGAAGTATTCCTTGATCATATTTATAAATATAATAAACCCAAATTGTCCTTTTGAGCAACCTTGGAATTTTTAACTCTTATTTAAATGAAATAACAGCGAATCTGAGTTTACCAATGATATGTTGATTTTACATAATTGATGAAATTTTCAAGTATATTTTACGTTTGTAACTGTTAGAATTCAGGTTTACAATTTAAGTTGGTTTATGTATACTATGTATAATTCATAATTCTAGCCCATAAACCCTAACCACAGACCCGCGTAGTATAACTAAACCTTATCACGTAGAGTAGATTATCGCTAATTACATAAACCCATACGGTAAAAATTTTGTGTTATAATGTACACAGCTGACCTATCTTAGTTCTTTTCCTAAAATTTAATCTAAGATAGTTAAAACTACCAATAATTACAGTAAGCTTTCTCAATAATACTGATCAACGATAGATAGATTTGTTTTGGTCTACAGTTTAGTGTATGTGATAATTGAATTTATCAGTATTGTTATGATAAACGGCAGATATATTCTTCATATATATATAGTCTTGTATTCTGTATTGTAGATATGATCCAGATATGGATCAATGGATACCGATAGCTTCTATGAATAGTCGACGGATTGGATTAGGTGTTGCTGTACTTAATCGGTAAGTAAATGGTTTTTACAAGTTTTGTTTACATTTCATGTAACTTTTTTTCTGTTTCTCGTTCCTTTATTTTGTCTTTTAAGTGTAATATTTTGTCCACATAGAAATTTCAGAACACTTTTTATATACAAGTAATGGTTCCAAATGGTCGTTGCTTTTTTGTCGTTTCTGCCTACGCTCCCACTGACTGCAGCTCGGATGAAGTGAAAGATGAATTTTACAGAAAGCTAAACGTTCAGACGTTGTACCCGTAGCAGGTGACTTTAATACCCAGATAGGTAGTTTAAACCAAACAGAAAGATATTTAGGTGGGTATTTTAATATTCCGGCTCAGTGAACAAGTAATGGCAATCGTCTGCTGCGACTGTGCTCAGACAATCGTTTATTTTTAGCAAACAATTATTTTAGGCATAAGGAGAGACATCGTCTAACATGACGACCTCTACACCAAACCAACGATGGACTCAAATAGACCATATTGCCATAAGTCATCGTTGGAGAAGGTCGATAGAAGATTGTCGCTCATTCTGGAGTACCTGTCTGGACTCCGACCATGCTCTAATACGAGCGTGCATCTGCTTGCGCCTCACTGGACGCGAAAAAGGCACATTAAAAAAACTCATTACAACTGAACTAAGTAGCGAGAAAACCAAAAGTAGGTTCCAGGAACAACTGAGGTCACAATTAGGTAGTTCTGAAAACGAGGCTAACCCGGATGTTGCTTGGGAAGATATGCAATCAGCTGTGGAAACAGCAGTGATATCTATTAGTGATTTAAACCACAGGGTTACAAAGAACCAATGGATTTCCCCAAGGTCTATTGCACTGATGGATTCTCGTAAACTTATCCCATCAGGCTCTGAACACGATAAAAAGTGACAACAAATCAGATCTAGGTTAACCGAAAGTCTAAGGAATGACCGTGAGCAGTGGTGGGCAATGAAAGCAAAAGAGATGGAAAAGGCGGTGACTATAGGGAACACAAGACAGCTTTACAGACTAATAAAAGAAACTGGAATTAATAAGTCAAGTGTAAGTGAGACTATATCGGAAAACGACGATACTCTCATCTGCTCCCAGTCCAGACGTTTAGAACGATGGGCGGAACATTTCAGAGAACAGTTCATCTGGCCTTCAGCTACTCTACAACTACCCTCCATCCCCAGACAGTGTGAATGGAACATTGAAGTAGGTCCCCCAACTCTTGCTGAAGTTCAAAAGGCTATAGTTAATCTGAAACGAGGAAGGGCAGCTGGTCCAGATGGATTGACTCCAGAGGTCTTTAAGTATGGTGGTCTAATTTTGGCGATTAGGGTTGACTAATATTTTAGCTAAGATCTGGGAGTTGGACGTTATCCTATCTGACTGGTCACAGCCACTTATCGTCCCAATATATAAGAAAGGGTCGAAATCATCCTGTGACAACCATAGAGGGGTTACTTTAACTAATATAGTATCTAAAATACTAGCCTCAATGATTATTGGGTACCTGACAAAGACTCGTGAACTGCAAACACGAGAGAATCAAGCTGGCTTCATACCTGGTCGTGGCTGCATCGACCACATATTCACCATTTGTCAGGTTCTAGAACACAGGCATACTTATCGGCGTCCGACAATGGTGGTATTTCTTGACTTAAAAGCAGCATTTGACTCCGTAGACCGCGAGATTCTGTGGGATTGTCTGTCATTGAAACGCGTACCTCAGAATTACATAAACCTTGTGAAGGCTCTTTACTCGAACACTACTAGTCGAGTCAGAGCTTATGGCGAACTGTCATCTGATTTTGCGATCTCGAGTGGTGTCCGGCAAAGCTGTCCACTATCTCCATTTTTGTTCAATTTCATCATAGACCTACTGATGGAAATAACGTTCTCATCGACTGAATTCTCGGGTATTGATCTCCTACCAGGAGGTCCGCTTATCGACTTAGAATACGCAGATGATATAGTCCTGTTTGGTGAAGACGCTGACAAAATGCAGAGTCTTCTGGTAGCACTGAGCAACAACGCCAGAATGTTTGGAATGCGCTTCTCTCTCTCTCTCTCTAAATGCAAGTTGTTGCTTCAGGACTGGTCTGTGTCAACACCTGAACTAGGGAAAGGGAGTGAAGTCGTCGAACGCGTTGACGACTTCATTTATCTTGGAAGTCTGATCAGCCCTAATGGGTTGGTGTCTGACGAAATCTCAGGATGGATTCGAAAAACTCGTTTGGCTTTCGCCATCTTACGCCACCACAGATGCCTTAGAAATATTGCTGGCGTCTGCTGGGATCACCGGGTAAGTAATAGTGAGGTTAGACGCAGGGTATTAGGGAACGATGGTAAATCAGTCGATGAGGTTGTGAATCTTCATCGACTGAGATGATTGGGCCACGTGTTACGTATGCCTCAACAGCGATTACCACGACGTGCAATGCTAACCGGTGTTGGGTATGGTTGGAAGAAAGTTAGGGTCGGCCAAACGAAAACGTGGCATCAATGCTTGAAATCAGTAAGTTGTGTTCTGAGTCATGTTGGTAGATGCAGACTACTTGGTTGTGGTCCGTGTGACTATTGTATCGAATGGTAGGAGACTGTGAATGACATGGCTGAGAATCGTTTACAATGGTGTAGGTGTATACACTCTCTGTCTTCATTTAAACTAAGAGATTAAAATCGCTTCATATCTTTCTTTCTACGTACTAAATCTTTCTTCCTGTACTGTATCCTTATATGCAATCCTTCTTTTATATATCACAACTGAATTAACTACTCCTATAAATCCAGTGTTCATCTTATGGTACTAATGCGGTGTGGCAACTTGGATCGATGCATATATGTGCATAGTCCTACGTTGTAGCTCACTGACTGACTCACCGATTCCAAGTGTATTATGATAAATTATTTAGTATTTACATCATAAGCTGTCCAGCGTAACGTAACATATTTAACTAATTTATCTTCAATTATTCTGTTATAGAGGTTCATAAGTAGTCAGTAATTAATGAATTGTACGGTTAATATTGTGAAATAGCATCTAAGGTATGTAATATGCTTCAAAAATACAATCTGAATATATCTAATTCTCATATTTGATACAAATAAAGACAACTATATGATGCACTCAACTAGAAACCATATTCAATAGAAAAATGTTCGCAAAATTGTTGGTATATTTGTGAAAATTCATAGAACCACATGTACAAGACTAAATTCATTGTAATCTTTCCATATAACAAAAATATTAACTATAAACTAATTAGTAATAGGTAATACATCGCACAATACGTGTTAGGCATATTGGATAAGTTTTTTAAATAACTATAATTTGAATTCATCAATTCTTACGGGTATGGACGAAAAATGAAAAACATCGAATTTGACCTCAACTTTTCTTGTACGAAAGCATGCACTATTATTACCAGGGCGTTTCGTAACAAATATATCTTTCCTGATAAACGTCACTTATAGATTGTTAGAATTGGATCAGTGAATTGATAGACATAATGACTTATTGTTGAATTTCCTCATTCTGTTTACTTGTATTTCTCGAAAATAAATGTTGACTAATTTGATTGTAAATTTCACTGGTCTACTTGTATTTATTTCTAAACTAAACATTTCACAATATTTATTTGAGTAACACTTTACATATTCTAGATAATCAATCATACGGTTATAATGTACGTAACAAGAATGCTAATAATCAGTGATGAGATTTTGTTACTGGGAAATGTTCCTTGTGAATGTATTAGCGGAATGAATTACGTGTATAGATATGTATGATTATGAGTTAAGTTACTTGACTTGACTAGGTAATTTCACAACAATTATAAGAGAGATCAGATCAAGTTGATTTGATAATTGTCGTATTTAGGAAGATACTTAAATTACTTAGTCTTTACCAGGGATTATTTAAAAGTTATTAAACTTTAAAGTAATCAATGTAAACGAAAGACATTAACTTACTTCCCTAAATCAATAATACAGTGTGGATGACCCAGATTCTTATTTCTATCATTGTTTGATCAGTACAGAGTCTGATTCTCTTAGGTGAATCGTTTTTATTATATTGATGATCTATTAATTGAAACAATCTTTTTTTTTCTCAAGTTGCACTAAACGATGTTGACTAACTTGAAAGATAAATTATTGCCATTCTAACTTGATTCAAGTTATTATCACATATGAATTATTTTATCATTCACAATCTCTATCATACTTAATTTATCTATTTACAATTCGAGGTGTATATTTTATTCGAACTTTTTCATGATTGTTATAATCTTTACTGAATGTGCTAAAAAGTATGAAATAAGCTGGGATGTACATAGAGCTTCATTGTGTCTGTTCTTCTTCCTAATTTTCTCTCATTAATGACAAATACAATAATCGATTCATTGAAATTGTACAAGATATGTCTTTTGCTGTTAATTGGTATTAATGAGCTATATTAAAGGATGATTCGCGCTTAAAAACCGTAACAATGAGTATCTTATTTAGAAGATCAAATTTAATATTATTTGTTTAATTATTATTTCTTTTAAATTGTACTCCAATTAAAAACTAAAATGAGATGGATCGATGAAACTATAAAGGTTTCTGATAAGTCATTATGTACACCTTATCTACTAAAAACGTGAATTATGGTTCTGAAATATAAAATACACCAACCTTACCTTTTAAAATATTTCCTATTTGTTACTACACACTTGTACTGTCTCCTTTCTGACTTCGTAAACCATCTTGGAAAATCTTCAGAAGTTCGAATTTCAAGTTGCCTTCTTAACAAACACTTCAATCTTGCATTATCCTTTCAGTTTTCATCAACACCCACCAGCCAGTCAGCTACAACGTAGGACTAGGCACTACTAAAACTATTGACCTACTTAAAATGAGTTTTTTCTTCGGTAGGTTAAGTTTTATAAGTGGCTCTCGACATTTGATGAGTTTTCTGAAAGTTTTCCTCAAAATTTGGTGTTTATTCACTATTCTATTTGTTCATCATTCTAAATCGTTGACAAGGGCTGAAAACATCTCTACTCCACCTTTGTAAGGAGTCTAAGAGTTTTTTAAGGCACTATCAATTTCTAGATTGTAAAATAGTAGAATTAGTACAGAAATAAGAAATATGTAAATCTCCTCTCATATTTATTGAATGGAGTAGGTGTTATTTACATATTATTTCTTAAAAATATTTTTAGTTTATTATACGCTGTTGGTGGTTTTGATGGTGAAAAACGTTTGAATACAGTTGAACGTTATGATCCGGAAAAAGATAATTGGGAAGAGTTAGCTTGTTTGAATCGAGCTAGATCTGGTGCAGGTAAGTTTGGAGTTACTTATTTACTTTGTATATATAAGATTCACGTATTTTATACTAGACTTTAATCCTAAGTTTTTAAAATGTTGATTTTATGAGGTCGGTCGAATAGCTGTCAGTGATTTAAGAAAGGGCGAGGGAGGGATAGAAGTGTTTCGTTAGTATAATATTAGTATACAATTTGATTTTCCTCATTGAAGTGTACTTGTTTTCTCGTCAATATGTTCCATTTTCGTCTCTTTTTTTGTTGTCCTTCCTCCCATCTTTAACAAAGTATTCTTTTGAATGCTTTGTCTCATTCTTTCTTCACTGTCTTGTGCACAATTCTCTTACCTCTCTCTCTCTCTCTGGTGTATGTATGTTGGTAACGCTTTTTTGTATAGTAGCATCTACATGGTAAATCATGTGTCCATCAGTTTGACATTTCTTACCCAGTTATATCTTTTTTCATGCTATCACTAAGGTTAATTTGAAGTGTTACATGATTAGGAATTGGTTAATCAGTTGGTTTACTTATTAAATCATGTTGGTAAAAGGTATACTAAACAGTTTATAGTATAGTTTACAATTCAGTTACAATATACAAACTTTTTAAACGTCATAATCAGCACAGCAGAAATAAAGAAAATTAAACTGTGTAGGTGGATATATTTCTAGATAATGGACAGAGTATTTTTTTTATCAGTCATTCAGACATTTGTGTTGGTAGGTTAATCCCTATATGAGAACAGGTAGACGGTGGCTATGGTTAAATGATTAACCTACTTACTCATTATAAATTGACCCCACGCTTCTTCATTTAATTTAACATGAAACTTTTAAATATCATTATCTGATATGTCAGATTTTGTTTGGGTCGATCAGTTTGTTGTACAAATGACTTTATTCTGATCACTGGATGAATATTCCGTATTAAGGTAGCATAAAGAGTTTGGAGCTCATCAATAATGAATACACCGAGGATGATCCTCTTTATGTACACCATACCAAGAAGTTATTTGACAATAAGAAAAACTAAAATGTCAACTTTCTTACTGAAAGCGTTCTGTGTCATTGGTGTTTTTGAATCTCATAGTTAAGTATATTTCAGTTTATTATTACTATTAATAATAATCATAAACTTTTTAATGAATAACATTGAAGGAAAATAAATAAATTCAGTTCAATGTCAATCAAAACGGAGTTTTTTCCTCTTAATAAAAGAATAGAATAACGTTTCATTGGGTCAACTGATTTTTGACTGGAATAAAGTTTCTCGAATAACCACTAAGCTTCTGTCATATATATATATAGGGAATTATAATAAGTCACTTTTCATTATTATTATTATCCAACACAATAGTTTGTTCATTTTTAGACAGCATACTCATTTTGTTTATTAGACATGTCCAAATCAATGTTTCTGACCATACTGTGTTTAAACCAGTCAACAGAGCAAGACAGTATGACTCAGCTAAATGCATTGACTCATACACATTTTTCACGTCGTCACGACTTAATCTTCGCTTCTCATTGATCTTGTTTGCTATTCTTCTTTCTACTGATACTTGTTATTTTCTTTCTGTTGAATAATTCGTTTACGCAGTTTGACTTCTCTGTTTGTATATCTTTACGTCCCTATGCACGTGTGTGTCTATGCCTACATCTCAGAAAGAATCTTCATTATTTTCTGGTACACGTAGCCTAATTGTCTAGATTTTTTTTTCTCTCACTAAATTATTTTGATATTCATGTCGATTTTGACTTTTGTTAATTTATCAACTTATTATGTTATGCATTTATCTGTAATAGCACAACATCTTCAATCGTATGTGTACACGTATATCTATATATCAGCAGGTAGTAAAGAAGTAGAAAATGTGAGAAATCCTGTGCGTATTCACTTGTGTGTATCAGTAAAAAATAGGAGAGATTGTCTAACTTTTTTTTACCTGTCTATCTATTTATCCATTTGGTCTCTCGTCTACTTGCCTAGCTGTCTATCTACCTAACGGTTATTTACATTTAATAATTATCTACTTCGCCTAATAGTGATAATTAACTTCTTTTTTTATCCAAATCATCGTAGACTGTATTTGGTTTATTATAATTAAAACTATTATCCGTAGACAGACTGTCAGTTGTTTTGTGCTCTAAAGACTTGTTGTTGTTATGATTATTGTTTTTTCGTCGTTGTTGTAGTCATTATCAACATCGTTTACTTGTACGTACGTATGTATGTAAGTATGCATATACATAAACACACACATACACATCTGTGTCTGGGTCCAATTTCAGATTGGTATTATCAACCCGTTTTGTTTTATGTATGTTGCCAATCTGTTCTCTTTTCTCACCAGATCAACAATGTTGGTATTCTCTGTCTGGTTTTCCTCTTGTCGTTGTCCTATCTTTTTCATAACTTCTTTTTAACAATACTAATGTCTGTCTGATAATACCAGTCCCTGTCTATTTATTGATTTGTCTAATTATCATATGGTCCCTACCGTTAGTAGTGTAAAACATACGTAACAGTTTAGTAGAATGTTTATATGGAATATTTCGGCTTAGTTATAAACGAAATACAGTTTATTATTTAGAAAAAATAGGATGACAGTTTAACAGTTTTGTCGTAAAAAATACTGTGTAAAAAACACTTTTCATATTATTATTTTTACTTTGATTATTATTGTCATTATCACTATTATTTGTTCAATATACATTTCATATATCTCGCTTTCCTATGAGTAGTTTGGCTTTATTTAAACTTACTGGTCAAAGCTATGGAAATTAGCGGATTTTTCCAAATAAATCCATTGTTCGAAGAATTAAAAATATTTCATTGAAGCCATGATCCGATCAAAGTTAGTCCACCATTGAAAAAATGGAAGCACTGGACAACCGTTTCGTCTTAGTACGGGACTCAACAGTGGGCATCCACGACTCCGCAACCGGGAACCGAACTTAAAATCTTTGGTCTTGGGCACAAAAACTTAGCCTCTAGACTACTGAACTGAGGTCTAGTGTGTACAAGTCTAACTTCAATCAGTCAATGACAGCACACGATTATCTTCCAATGTCTTCGGTCAGTACTTTCCTCACACCCTCAATATGGCTTGGTCCCACTAGTTAAAAGTATTGACTGAGTCCCAGAAAAAATGTTGGGTCGAAGAACAAGAAACATCTTCAACGATAACATCAGTATTTATCTGATAATCCCCAACCCACTCTAGGATATTAATAGTCAAGCGTTTAGTTCATTGTGGCAATGTATTTTAAATCAACAAACTAACTGATTATTATTACTATTAAACATACGACGAGCACATCATTTTTAGTTCACTTTGCTGCCATCCAAGAGTGTACATTGCAGATTTCAATCAGTTCATGATATTGTGATCATATTCTAGTATCATTGTTGAATAACTATCTTATACTTGATATGGTTTAACTCCATTAGTCGTAGCTCCTCAGAATTCCTGGAACAGGATTATTACTATTATCAGCATACGGGATTTGTGGAGATTGTTAGATTTACATCGATGACATCATGAGCTGATGTTAGTTAGCTATCCAATGGTTGTTTAACTAAGTTCAGCCAATTATGTAGTCCATGATAGTTTATTATTATATGACGTTTCCTCAGATGGTGAATAAGTGACTACTTCATAGTAATTAGATGATGAGAATTTTTAGAAATTTTTGAAGAAAATAAGAATTATATTCGTGTAGAAGTTAAGACTATTATTTGTTAAAAAAACTATGTACTACTCTACACTAAACAGTTGTCTAGTCATTTTTGGATATTGTTTTATTTATTTATTTATTTTATCACATAGATATTGGTACAAGGGTGCACCAAATAGATATGCACTACACAAATCTCATTTGATTTGTGTGAGAGCTGTGATACTTCCCGAGTGCCCAAATCGAAGCAGGTGGTTTTTTACGGGGCCACACTCGGAGCCTTCGACTTGAAGGTCTGATTTACAAGGCAGTGGAGCATCGTAAGGAGTGCAGTTACATGGTAGCCGGTTACCAACAATTGTTTCATACATTTGTTCCCTCAGGATACTGGAGCCCATGTGCACCATTGGTTCGGAATCAGGGTTTTCGAACTTCCCTAGGTGGACTCTCCATGTCCACCAAGCCGGTTAAAGCGCTGGACATTCGCTTTTCTTCTTCTCAATTTGGTAAACAAGAGTAATGCCGCGAGAAGGCATTGAGTAGAACTTCCCTGGTAGAGGCTATATACGCATAGCCATGTGAGAGCATTTTTTGAGGGGAAGCGGACTCTCTCCACTCTCGGCCGTACCAGGGCATTTGGGGGGGATTATTGTAACTTGGCCTATGTTGTCATTATGAATGATGATAAGAACCAGTGAATTTTAACGTAATATCTTTGAAATTTGAATTAAACTACAATACAGCTTCCGGAGTACTAGTCAGAAGCTACAACGACAGTCTTAGGATTCAGGTATTCCTACAATGTTTTTCTGAGAACAGGTCTTAACGCAGACTTCTACTTTCGATGGCATAATAAGAAGACAAATATTATCAGAACTATGTGATATGTTAGGGCAATACATTTCGAAAAATCCGATCTGAAACGGGTCGTAAGATTTATCTTAATACGGTTTTGTGGTGTTGTACGAAAGTGTAGAAGTGCATATACTAAGGTTTATTGAAGCATTAGCCATACGAAAATTCATACCCCCTCTGTGTATTCAAAAGCAGTTTGTTCTCACATTAAACCTACCCTGGTAATATTAGTTTATTATCCAGAGTAATGAAGTTCCAAATTGTTTTCACATTATTTTCTTTATTATCATCGTCTTCTCTTGCCCTCAATTTCTAGTCTAGTTGACCTTTTATTTTCATATATTAATGTTCTTAACAAGTATATGTATGATCAAATTGTTCGAAATGTGTTGCGCTAATATATCACATAGTTCTGATAATCTTCGTCTTCGAAATTCATCAAAGGCACTAATTACTTCAAATTTCGTAAAAGACTTCCTTCAGATTTCTACGTTTCAAGGATAACCGTGTCTTGATTGTTAGACAGATACCCACTACTGTCATTGGAAGGTGATTGCGTAATATTATATATATATATATATATATATATATATATATATATATATATAATTTTTTGGGAAATATTTTTAAAGGTGTTGTTGCACTCGGTGAATACATTTATGCAATTGGTGGATATGATTCCTGTAGTCAGCTAAATACAATGGAACGTTATGATCCTAAAAGAAATTGTTGGGAATACTGTGCATCTATGCTACATCCAAGATCAGCGTTAAGTGCTTCAGTATGGGGAAATGAAATATGGGTTTTTGGTGAGTTGGTGAATATGTGAATAGATGAATAAAGTTTGTTTTTTAAAATAATATCACATTTTATTGTTACTATTGTCATTATTATTATATAACATTTCCTCATTCATTTATATGTTTAATGTTTTGGCTGAGGATTAAGTCCGATGGTCAAGTCTTAGACCGTTAAGTGTCCTGCATAATTTGTGTCTTACATGTTATCTACATTTCAAGGAAATAGTGTCATGCCTTTTTCTTCTTCCTTTGTAATATTACATCTATCATTTTTGATAAATCTTCGGAGTGAACGTTTGAATCAGTTTCCTAAGCTCTTCTAACAACTGCAGGCTAACTACACGATAACTTGAACACGAGATAGAAGGTGCGAAATACGGAAAGAATGCTCTACTCCAATTTTAGTTTGTGTACAGAAAATTGGGGGTATTTATAACATTTCAGATGGTCTCGGGCTTCTGTAAAGTTTTGGAACCCTACTAAACATAGTAACGGGATAGGTAATCATCCATTCAGAAATTTGACACGTGACTCTTCACTTTCTAGATGCATCCTAGAAACTCTTATTCAATGCTGATTAGATACAATGTTTCTCAGAGTTTTCAGGGCTCCTTTGAGATTTTTTCGAGGAATTTTCTGAGTCTATCAATTTATAGTGAATAAGTAGCGTGGCTCATTTTCCAGATTGAATTAAAAGACTGATATGTAAATCGAGTTTCATCCAGTACTATAAGTTGTCCTGAAATTGACAAATGTAAATTCTCTGTTTATCAAAATTGATGCATTCTTTGTTCTCTTAAAGATCATTATTATTAATGTTAACTGCTCTCGTTGTTCGCATTTTTATGTTTAGGTGGCTACGATGGAAGCGAATTTCTAGCCAGTGTTGAAGTTTATAATCCAATTAAAGATCAATGGACTGAACGAACTTTTATGGATTGTGGTAAATCTGGGCATGCAGTTGTAGTTAGTCGCGGACCATCATTTTGATTGACAATGTAAACTTTCGTTTTTGTCAAAAAAGAGATATTTCCTCATTTACATTGGCAGAGAAAACAAACAAACAGGAGATAAAGAGAAGATCGTTAGAGCACTCTGTGATTTTCACCCACTTTTTTGTCTATTTCTGTTTATCAGCGCCAATATATAACTATCAACCTTTCAATTCCCTCCCTGCTCGTCCTTACTCCTAGTCCCTATCATGCTTACCAAATACTGTAATTAAGGTACTAGTCGTAGTAATAATTAAACTCATTGATAGTTTCACTATGAAAAATACTAAAACAATGCTAACCAATTGTGTTTTATACTGTTTTTCTCCTTCCTTTTTTATTCATCCGGAATAATAGTCATAAAGATTGTGAATATAATTAGCGATTTCACTGTTTCTTCCGTATATATGTCTATATGTAATACTGAACGAATGAAAACTAACCTAAATTGTACATTAGTTCTACTCCTGATATTCTCCTACATAAATTTATCTCATTGTAAAATATATGTTCAAACTTGTTTGCCCTTTTTACAGTTTTAAAAATTTACTATACCCATGTCTACCAATAATATTAATCATAACAATAGTAATAATATTGCATATTGTACTTATATATATCCACTCTCTTTTGCCCTTTTCTGTCCGTACATGCATCCACATATGTGCTTGTATTTATTCCGTCATTCTCTTGACTTCATAGTATAGGGGATCTAATTCCTCATTTTCTGTACATAAAAAATGTTATATTGATATTTGTTTGATTTTTTAAAGTATTCTTTGGAACCTGTTGTACATTAATTGCATTGTTTGTTTTGTTTGTCTTGTGTATGTATCTTGTTAGTCTTTTTTTTTAAACCCAACCTTCTACTAGTATTAGTATTGTGTATATGAAACTTTAAAATGTAGTTTTCTGTCATATATATATCCATTAAATTGTTGGGGGAAGATTTTAACTTGATACTACTACTGACACTATTACTCATAAAATGGCGTCTGTTTTTGCTTTTCTGGAATAAACAGTTAATATTTGTGAATGTAAATGATAAAAAATATTTTCAATATTTCATAGCTTTTCCCTTTCTTTTTAAAAACGTTCAAGAAGATACATATGCACTTTGCTTTGTTTGTTCTGAATTTGGAAATGTCAATCGACCTGACATGATGGATTTTGTTTTAGATTGGTGTTCGTAATTCTATACCGTGATTTTTAATTAGTGTACTTTGTATGTTTGGGTAATTGCATTCGTTTCAGTGACGAATTAAGCTAGCCACTATGCTTAATGTAATTCTACATTTAGTGAGTGCATATTTTAGAGTTTTGAAATTATTTTCAACGTGGTTCAAATTTGGTTGATCAGTTAAATTGGTTGATACCGTTTGTTCAAACTGCTGGTGACTTTTGATTGGTTGCTTTTTCCTTTTGAATTATCCATGATACGTTTTCTTGTTCTGATATACTGGATAACTTTTAGATTTACCGGAAATGTTCACTGAACATTGTTATTCTACGTCATGTTTGTCTCTTCTTTGATGATGATCAATTTATTGGAATGAAGTCTCCACCACTTTGAACGACTCGATATTGATTTGCACTGTGATTATAGATAGTTTAAAGAACTGGGCAATAAACCTCAGGTTTAGGTCTTGAGCTAAATATCAGAAAAGCGTACTTGCAATCCTGAAAGTGGTCCTACCTAAAAGATTTGGAACGTTCCACTTAACGATTTTGTTGACACGATGTATCTGTTATACCGAGTTTTACTACTGACCCTGCAGTCGGATATCTTTCCTGAGATCACTGTGTAAGCGAGATATTTAACACTTGAATCTTTACATCACACATATTTTTTCTTGTCATTATTATTAACTTAAGATTTATTGTAAAATGTCTTGGTATGAGGCTGTATTTTTATCGTTCTCATCTATGTATACTGTATTATGATTTTGTTGTTCAATGAATGACAAAAGTTAGAAATGAAATCAGTAATACATAATAAGTGATAAGTTGAAAAATATCTCGTTGGATAGTAAATTTCCTATTGGGCTAATAGCCTACAATGAATTATCTGTTAATTAAATGTTTACACTCTACAATGATAATTAATATCAATATAATCTGTGTTTATTTTGGAGTTAATATAAGAGGTCACCAATGTTGGACAAGATCTCCATTTATACATATTTAAAGTAAATAATTCTTGTAATGATAAAAATATATATTTATATACTTTGAGGACCATCTTAACATAACTGCGATGAATTTCCAGTCAATCAGAAAATAGCTTATATAAATGGATTTTTTATAGAAGAGAAAATAATGGCTATATGTGTGTGTAAAACAGTTTTAAGTAATCAGTCAATCTATTGATATTCTCTATAGGTTATTCTGCCTATAAATCGAGAAAGAAAACAACGACATATAATCTCATTTTTATGAATATAGATTTTCAACCTTTCAAATCTTTGTAAGGACCTGTACGAATTTTTAAGCTACCATAATGTTCCTAGTTAGAGTTAGGTATTTAGGACAAGGGCTGGGGGTTAGGGTTGTGTTTTTAATCAAGAACTAACATCAGTTATTGTGTAAAATTACTTGGTATTTATATAAATGAATAGATTTACCCATTAAATCTAGTACCATCAGATTAAATTTTGTTTCAGAATTGAGAGTTTACGG